CCATCTAAGTGTTCATATCAGAGACCTTCCTTTATGTTCTTCTGAATTAATTTATTTTTGCGATGCCGGAAGCTCATTTTTGAAATGGCACACGAAGTTGCGCCAGTCTTTCAACTTAATGATCGATGCTCATGCAAGTCGTTGTCAAATGAGGTCCCAAAACGAGAAAATTATACAAGCATTCGTAAAGAGACGCAAAATTTTCGGCTGTCCTTTCCCTCTGCACGAAGCAACATTACCGCTGAAAAGTGTGTTGCTATTGTGATGATGGCGAGGCATGAATGGTCGATTATCGATATATTTCCATTTGAAGCTATGGTAAAGGATCGATTATTAAGGTGTTCGTTGCGAACACTCTCTTTATCGATCATTTTCCATACGTTTAAATATCGATCAATCGATATATTTCAAAGAACGCCACGCCTCTGATGACCAGCGGTATGCGGGCATTGAATAGCACGTGTGTTACAAAAGTATTGAAAAATATGTCTTTGATTCATCTTTAGCTTTGGTTGTTTTGCATGAACTTTGAGAAGATGGGCGCGTTTCCACCGAGAAGTCACAAATGCAAAGAGCTCTTGGAGGAAATAAGAAAGTTTGCCGGTTTGAAGAGTCACTTGGTACAACTCGAGACTGTTATCAGCCGCCGACATTGTCACGAGAGGCAAAATCCAAACATTTGGTATTTAATGACAGCTTGTAAACAACCGCACACGAGAGAAGGGAAGGCCGGAGTGTTTGCAAACTAAATTATTAAGAAAAAGGTTTTTTGAGGGCAACTTGCGCTGCGATGTAGGTATCGTGACAAAGGTCATTCCAGGTTGATGACACAGTATACGGTATATCTAGAGCCGTGCGGAACTCAGAAACTTGGTGATATCAGACTGCACCAAGAGAAAGCAAAGGAAAAACAACTTTAATAACTAGGAGACTGGGTTAATACAACTTTAATTTTAAAATAAATAAGGAAAGGAAATTGAGATCATAAGTGATCATTTTTTTCTCTATAACTAATATTTACTTTATTTTACGGGTTGAAGCAATAAACCATTCTGCGATAACAATATCTGCAAAATTTTAAATAGGAAAAAAATGTGCGAACTCTGAAGAAAAGATTGATTTACTAAGGGGTATGTGAGGTTTCAAGTTGTCCTAAAAGTCGGAGGAAAAAAAAGTGAAAAAAAAAATCTTCAAGTTCTTTGTCGGGTCATCAACCTCATCCGAGGTTTTTTCATGAACATATCGAGGTCACCTATTCAGACATCATGCACAATACTCTTGCATTAATATTTTCGGTTCATGCTTGAACTGAGTCAGAGAAAAAGTGGGGGCAATAACGAATTAAGAATCATAAGTATTCCAGCAAAAAGCACTCAAAGCTCTGATTCCGTGTCTTAAAGTTTTGTCATGTAATGCGTGACACAGTGATAACGGTTTGCTGTAGATTTCATTACTCCTCTGTTCATTTTTGACATATTTTCAAGGGTAATTTTTGGTTATGGACTCATATATTGTTGCCGTTGCTTTCTTAGTATGCAGTCAGTCCATTCACATGTTTTTAAGTTTTCAAAATGAGTTAGCGCTAGCCGTCCGGCAAACCGTGGCTGTAGTTATTGCTCATTAGGAGAATAGGGATTTTACGTATAGATACTCATTATAAAATCAGCACAAGAAAATTTTTCTAAGTATTCATAAAACGAAGCGTTCATCGAATAGCGCGTAGGGATTTAGAGAAGGAATAACTTTTACCCCTTCTCTCTATCGTGAACGCGAATTGGGGCATGAATCGATTGAAATACAACGCGATGGCGGCATCAGACGTAAGCAAAGGGCACACAATCGGCAAAATTTACATAAATTTACAGTTAAAAGCAGCTCACGGGATCTAAAATTGCGAGAAAAGTTACTCAATGATGGAAATGGATGAAATAAATGAATAAAAGAAGACATCCATGGCGGTAAAACCTACAATGCTGGCTCGTGGCTTCGTCAAAGATTCAGGCTTGAATGTTGACAAGAGACAGGACTGATACGCAAGCCTCTTCCATTCCTCGAGAGACTCTTCAGAATCTAGATATCGATTCCTCTCGCTTTCCTGGGAATTTTCCTTTTTCTTTTAATCCTCATAGCCCCCCCCCCCCCCTCNNCTCGTCTGCCCCGCCTCTCAACCCCCGTCCTTGCCCCCGGCGTTTTTAAAATTGTTTGCGCAACGTGGTTTGGTCGGAGAATTACTCTATCAGACTTGAGAGCGGCACCCTCAAGTTTATTCAGGCGAAGAATCGCGAATTTTGCTCTCATTATTTTACAGTATGTTGTTACCCCGTCGCTCATTATCGACCACTCAGAAGAATTATTTTACTCTAAACGTGCGTATAACCATGTCCGAGTGCCTGTTAGGCCTGCAAACCGCAGTAGAAAACCATGTCTGCACTGATCAGCTGTGATAAGGAAGAATGTCGCATGAGCATTCAGACGTTGCAAAATTTCCTTCGATAAAAACCAAATTTACAGGGAAAATTGTGAAATTGTTTTACCGAAAGTTTAAGACAATTTCGCACGCAATTTTATCTAAGATATCTGAAAATTTCACGGAAATATGTGCATGAATGTCGTCAAAAATACATGTTTATCAACGGAAATTTGGCAACTTTCGAATGTTCATACGGCGTTCTTCCTTAGCACTGCCGTATAACACAAAAACGCCGTAAAAGCCATTTCACATTTTTTGGAAATAACGTATCATGGCAGAAAAACTTGTGCACCTTGGGACAATATTTTTACAGAATTCTTTTGCAAACACTATCAAGAACTTAACTTGAAAATTTCAGGTGGATGGGTAAAACTATGCTATAGTGTTAAGGCTATTTGGACAAAATACGACTTTCTTACATCATTCAATAGATTGCACAGTATCGAATGGTAGATGACATTTCAAGAATCAGTTTAATTATATCATATACTGCCTAAATTCTTCTCACGTTTAATTTTGTTCATCGAAAAGTAAGCAATATTCATACTTGGATTCGTGTGAGTTTTTTCCTCGTTACCTCTGAATAATTCGTAAAATATATCAAAATGGTGCGCTATTTACAAGCAGCTCCTAGTTATACAAATCCAAAACGAAAAACAAAAAATTGAAGATACACCAATTCAAAACAAATTAAAAATTCCATAGGAGAGTAAAAAAAAAAAAAAAAAAAAAACCACACACACATGAGGAAGTTAGGCGACGTAAAATACCGTTGGACTAATTCTGCTTAAATTAGTTAATTTAGCAAAAGGTCATGTTCGCCTTCATTTCGATGGACAGGCAAAAAAAGCTCTCTTGCGTCAAAATAGTCGCATCCTCAGGAATGACCAACTTAGGGCAAGTCCACGGGTATCGAAAAGACAGAGCACCTTGAGAAGTTTGCCTGGAAGATTCAGGGCTAAAATTAGTTTCGGAAAGTTACTGTCTGGCCAAATTGGTGGAAAGGTCAAAACCTATTGCATAAACAAAAAAAGGTCGTGCCTACCACTTCTCAAGGAAAGAGAGTAAGCGCAAATGGACAAAGAGGGTTATTCATATAGGCGAAAAATGTACCCAGCCCGGAATGTACGAAACTTTGTGANAAAGTTTCGTACATTCCGGGCTGGGTACATTTTTCGCCTATATGAATAACCCTCTTTAGATACCATTACAAAGTTTCTTCTGTTTCCAATGTCTCAGCCTGACTTTTCGTTGCTTGTTGCCTGTCGAGAAGTAGACCACATGCTGTTATTTGCGGGTTATATTATATTTGTCGCCTTATTCTGTGCCCAAGAAATAAACCGTTCTATTCAAGCTTATATAGTCTTCCAACAGCAATCGCAAGAAAAAAAATGCAATGTAATTAAAATTTTGTAACATTATAATGAAATGCAAAAATAATTTTACCAAAATGAAGCAATTTCTTCAANAATTTCTTTGGCATTGGTCGATAGAACGTAATTTTTTGCATCTTTTGGTATAAATACGAGCTCTGTGACTGCATTTCTGCGAAAGTTATGGGTGTTTGAAGGTTACGACTTTAAAAAATGGCAACGCTGTTTCCCTGGGGTTCCTGCAAAAACGGAGCTAGGGATAAGCCTCTCTCAACTAGTACTATCAGCTCACAAAGTTTCGTACATTCCGGGCTGGGTACATTTTTCGCCTATATGAATAACCCTCTTTAGATACCATTACAAAGTTTCTTCTGTTTCCAATGTCTCAGCCTGACTTTTCGTTGCTTGTTGCCTGTCGAGAAGTAGACCACATGCTGTTATTTGCGGGTTATATTATATTTTTCGCCTTATTCTGTGCCCAAGAAAGAAACCGTTTTATTCAAGCTTATATGGTCTTTCAACAACAATCGCAAGAAAAAAAATGCAATGTAATTAAAACTGTGTAACATTATAATGAAATGCAAAAATAATTTTACCAAAATAAAACAATTTCTTCAAATATTGCTTGGCAACGCATATGGAAATAAAACACCTCTAATGTTCGTGGTGATTTATATATATTTTATGTACTGATTGATTCATGGACCTCTTTTAATGGAGCATAATTCAGCAATTTTACGGTGTGCAATTACGGAATATTTCCCGCTGCTACTCAAACGATAAGCGGTTGTCTTTCATTTACTACGCAAAAATTGGACAACGTTTTGAGGGAAGTAGATACAAATAATTCTGGTTCCTTTTCAGCGTAATCGCAACTTGTAGAGTTCAAAATGGCTTTGACATTTTGTATCTCTGGATGGATGGAAAGAAGCGGAAAAATTGCTAAATAACAATGATTGAGGGAGTTAAATTAATAATTTTTACTTAAATGCTTTTCATCTTCCTACACTATTTAAGGACGCGCTTGCTCCCAGCTCCATGCATCAGTTCAATTTATTTTGAAAGTGAAACACTAATATTTATGCAAGCTTGAATTAATCAAATAAAAGAAGGTCTTATTTTATTATTAACCTGAAGTCTCATTTCCCTTGTTTCAGATGCCAAAATGACTTGAGCTGTACACCACCCAAGGTAAGATAGCTATCAAAATGATCCTATTAATTTTTGCCTAAAATAAAGCAATTAGAATTTAGAATACTTCGGGTAATTTTTTTTAAATTACTTTTCTTCTTCTTTGGTTTTGACTTAAATTAAACCACCACCAAACATGCATGTTTACATTTTCCCCGATCTATCCGACTTGATCCCTTTTCCGCCCTCTCCTGTGAATGTGCATAAATTCCCTTAAGTGCGTGTGAAAATGTCGTCTCACTTTCACCGAGTGGGAAGAGGGTGATTAGTCAGACTTAAACCTCGCACAAACTAGCGAGTGACCAATGCATTATGAATAAATTACCGCGGACTCGCAATGGTAGCATTATAGTTTTAAGTTGAGGGAGTTAGAACATCATTTGGGGGGGGGGGCTTGGGAGCACAAAGCGGATAGGTGGAGTTTTTGGAAAAATTGAGATATTAATAATGCCAACTAAAACTATGGTCCTGGAAATATATTCTGTGAAAAAATCACTCCCAAATTCAAATTTTCAAACATCAAAAAGTGAGTTTGAACTTTCTTTCCACCATAAGCCTCCATGTAATTTTGAAACTTTAAAGACGCATTTCTCGAGAAAGCAAAAACTTTGCCATGATTTTGCAAAATTTAATTAGTTTTTCCTTATTTTGAAAAATTGATTTCCCTAACTTTGAAATTTTGAAAGAAAAATATAATGGTACTCTATTTTTTGTATGCAAGCTATAAAATATATTAGTCTCCCCAGGAATCTGAGATCGAAAATTAGCTATTGCCATAGAGGGTTAAATTGAAAATCCCCAACCCTTGCAAGAGCTCCATGGTATACTGCTGTGATAGCGAAAAGAGCAGTAAGTGAATCCTGAGGGATGAACCTTGAGACACATAAAAACATGTGCTAACCATGGTCATATAGCAATGCACTTACTGCTCTCTTGGCTATTATGGCAGTATACTGACCATTACTCGAATGAGGACGGAATAAAATAGAGTGGTGTACGAGGTAACTTTTGTGGCGAAGAAATTAAGGCGATACCTAAACGAGGCGAAATTAGCAGGACCCAGCCCCGGGCTGTCAAACCTGGTGTTTGTTCTCTAACTGACCGCGTCGCAGTAATTAATGAGTATATTCCACGTCGCCCCGGCTACCGTCCCAGTCCCAACCTAGATCCCTATGATAAATTAAGCCACCCCATTAAGTTTATTACGCTCGACTCAAGATATCGGTGCCCCCACGCTGCCCGCTAGCAAGTTACGACCGACCTGAATTAAGGCGCCGTTCGGAAAGCCTTAAAAAGTGCGCTAAATTTCCCATCCCCAGTAACTGCCACTTAAAATCGCGACAGCTTTCTTTTGAGAAAGGCCGTTCACTAAATAAAGTACATATTTCGCCGCTGTAATACATATCGATGGTGAAACTGCAGAAATGCGTATATCGGTTTTCGGCGTTGCAGGATGCCTGTCATTATTTCAGTTTTTATATGGACGTATTTTTGCTAAAATGAACTATATTACACGCAAACCCTGTGCATAGTTCCTTTTAGCATGAATGCGTCCATATGAAAAACCACTGAACATCATTTCTTGAAATTTCTGACAATTTCAAGCCATGATGTTGGTTCGGTTTCCTTTTAAAAAATAAAATAGGTGCGAAGAGTTTGAGACACCGCAAGCGAGGTATGCGTTTGTGCAATAGCACTATCGATTTAGCTCAGATGCACTGAATGTCACCAAAATCTTCGGTAGGGTCCTAATTTCTGAAATCTTCACGCTACAGACAGTTCGTTTTTTTCACTGTTGAATGTTATACTATGAAGGCTGAGCCTTCACATTTTTCTGCTAACTCGTATTAAACCACGATGAATGCCAATTGTAATGACTGCGACGGTAGAACATTTCACAGAGCGCCTATAGAAACGCCCCGTCAAAATGTCCTAATCGAATTTCTATTCGAGACAACAAGAATTACCATCGTCCCCACAGTGGTGATTCTTAAAATTTGGCAATGGTGTTTTTTCTCCATTTATATTACGTAAAACAATCGATTCTTGAAGAGGTAGCTTGCCTCACCTAGAATCGATTTTTTAAAAGGGATGTAAATGAAGGAAAAACAGCGATTCCAACTTGCCAAATCGCCATTGTGTCCCGATTATATTATAATCTGTCGTGATAAAGTTGTAAGAAGATTCCAACTGGGACAACGGGAATTCTGGCCACTTCAAATGAATATCCGACTAGGGAACTATTGACAGGAACATTTTTCTCCTCGGGAAGAGATTTTTCAGACTATCTTTTGACATCATAGTCATACAAAGCAGGTCGTAGCTCAAAGTTCAATACATCTCTTAATCAAGAGGGAAAACACGTGCATAATTAAAATGACATCTGAAATCTTGGACAAATTAAGTCATTGGACCGAAACACCCGACTGTTATTTTGAAAAATATGTCTTACACAAAAATGACCGATTTCAAATTATTCAAATTAATGATTTTATCTTTTTCTTACCTATCGCACACCATTAACAATGCAATACGAGAGAGAATATAAAATTAAGAGAAAAATATTAAAAATTGCTCTAAATGTCTCACACATCTTACAAAAAATTACTTAGTAGACGTAAATTTATTTTTACAAATTGTTGAAACGACAGTGTTGGTTTTGGTAACGATGCCATGGTATCATAATCTGCGCCGAGAGCGCCTTCAAATAGAAGTTGGAGCAAATGTGTAGACATTACTGTTAATAAAGAAGCCTACCTAGAAAGGAGCCACAATGTGTCAAATGATTGGTGCTGGTACGCTCGCTTGTGTATTTGTTTGTGTAAAACAAGAGTGTTGCAAACGCATTGCAATTCAAGACTTGCTACTTTCTTTTCACCCCAGGAGCGCCCAATTTTAATCACTATCCCTCATAGTATAGGCTTTTGAGGGCAATAATCTGTAAGAGCTCTTATTTACATCGTGTGCATGCTCGTACTTCACAATAGACTAATTTCTTCAAAAAGAATTTCGCTACAAAAGAAAACAAAATAGCATGTTTAAAAAATTACCAAAAATTCGCACAGCATGGGCATCATAACTTATAAATCAAGTTTTCGGGAAAGGCTACCCGGTCTTCCGGTGCATTGTTCAGAATAATACCTAATTAATATTTTTCTCCCATGTTGAAGATAAAAGTTGATTCTACTTTCGAGTCAAATTTATTCTCACTTCAATTCATCACACCGCAATTTACTCTAAATGTCTCTTTTGACTTTAAATTGGCTATTTACTTCAAAATTAATTTAATTTTGCTTCTAAGTTGGGGTCCATCGATTTAATTTCATCTGTGTTTAGTTCTAATTAGAGTGGTCTCATCTTAATCGTAGGAACAGAACACATACGACTATAGTCGACAATGGCGTGTTTCAGACAGCCCTTCATTGTAAGGCTCCGCTCATGTTTTATTTTTTTTTTAAATGCAAAACTAATCAAATGTTTTCAATGAAATTATGCTGTGCTTTCTATCAGTCATTCTAAAAAATTCGCACAAAATTATATTATGGAAAAAATTTGATTTTTTTATCCATGAATCAAATAAAACATGATTGGAAATTTTCAAACATTGCTGCTAAGATACGTACATTCCGCATGTAACCATAGATAAAATTATTTATTTATTTATTATTTTTTTTAAAGTTATTTGAGGTTTTCAATCCATTCGAGGATCCTGCAACCTTGAACGATCATCATGGTTAGGGTTAGCACACATCCATGCTCCAGGCTTTTTTCAGGGATTAAGACCGAGTGAAGTCTGTTGCTGCTGATCCACTAGCAATGATTCTGTTTTAGCAGTGTGTATAGAGAATTCTCTCTTTGCAGTCATCAAGGGGGCGGTAAAAGTTGAGCGGGCACCGGGCGGGAAAAAGCTAAATCCGGAGATAAGACACACCGCTTAACACGTCACTCCATCAGTCATCATTAGGCGAAGATTATCGTTGATCCCCGAAAGTAATTCTGACACTACGGGAAGCCAGCAGTGCGGGCTCTCTGCGTTATATTCCGAGCCCGGCGGCGACGTAAAATCAATGTCGGGAAAACTGCGAGCACCTTGGTATTTTTCTCGGTGCCTCGAGGACAGAGGACACACGGCGATAACTCGGAGTTATTGACGATAAAAAAGGAGATTAACCGAGAGCTAGCCACCCCGAGAGAGCGAGGGCGCCACCGTCCTCGACGAAGCGCGGCGCCACTCTGCCGGGGTCCGTCGTTCGGGGTCGGCGTCGCGCTGCGCCGCACCGGCCCGTGACGCCCGTGACGCCCCGCGCCGCGACGCGACCGCAGAGTCCCATCTCGCGTCGTCCCATCGTTCCGACGCGACCCACCAACATCAATAACTGTTCGAGTCAGCGTTGCCCATCTCCTGTCATCTCTCCTCGTCTAATCATAACACTCTACCCCCAAAGAAGGACCGATATTAGTTGCGACCTCAGGGGAGGAATTCTCTGTTTGCCGGCTTCGGATGAAAGCACGGAGCTATATTTCGACAATTTATTTCATATGTAACAAATAGAGAATTTTCAGGTGTCTGAAATTTGATGAAATTCGTGTTAAAGTGGGAACTACTGAGTCAACTGAACAAGAGGATACCCATGGTTCATGAAGTGAACAGTTATTGGCGAAGATATGACAAAATGATTTAATTTGCTAAAACTGATGTATCTAAATGGGAAATGTCGCCAGATGACGCCATGAGGCAGTGCATTTTCTCACTTTTAAATCTCTTTTTGTACTATTTCCCATATTAGAAAAAAATTATAAAAAATACTGTGAAATCAGCTCTTGAAGCACTTTCAGATGAAGCAATAAAAAATTTGCATGCAAAGTCTCCATTCTGTCATTTAATAACGCGCAAAATGCGTTACTCCAATTGAGGAGCTTGGAGGATAAGGCTCATAAGTGCAGTTTTTGCTTTTCCGGAAAATGTGTATTCTACTACTAATAAGTCGCTCTCATAGCGCCTCTGTGTGCTCTGCGACGCCCAACCGCCACTGACAGCGATCTTGCCAGAGATCCACTGGCAGATCGCATCTCCTCATTTTCTGCCACATTCCCTCAATCCACGATTTGGCAGGGCGTCCTCTACTTTTTCTACTAGGGGGGACCCAATCCAGAACCTTTTCTTTTATTAATTGTGTCTTTTAATAACACTTAAAATGCATCACTTCACTTATTTCATCAATGCACAATTTTTCCGAGCAAATTTAACTCTTCCCAGCAGGCTGTTTGGAATTTTTCTCTGAACATTGTTCTGATTTTTCATCTGAGCATACGCAAAAATAAAAAAAAATTCGACAGAAATTACGGAGTCACATTCAATATTATGAAGTCATAGGAGTGACGCGTTACGCATAATTTTCTCAAAGATAAGTTTCCATTAAGGTGTGGTTTTTGAAATCAAAATCAGGGAGGTCTTCTCCCTCTTGAAACGTTCGATGCGAAGGAAAATAGGTTTTTAAATTATGGTAAAGAGAAATAATTATCAATATAAGGGGTTAATCGGTGTTTGCGAAAGGAAGAGGAGAGAAATAGAGAAAAAAATGTTACGGACTGATGAGATAATGCAGTAGACAGATGATGAAAAGGGCGAAGAGATAATGTAGACGCTGAGGCTCTCGGAAACTAGGAAACAACAGAGCGATTAATAAATTTATATCAAAGCAGACATGACAGATTAATTAATTCTGCGTGAGAGTCAGAGGTTATTATCGCACCGCGTGAAAGATGATGAGCATTATGTTTTTGAGGATTAGATGATTTGAAAAGGCTTCCTTCCGACCCGCGTGAGATATACGGTCCTTTCGCTATGCGAACACTTTTGAGAAAGGTACCATATTGCGATCTCTTCGCGAGTTTTAAGCGTTTAATTCATGAGAAATAATGGTTCACTTCGAATTACACAATAATCATCCTGAGCTGCAAAGAGACCAGTGAGCTGATCATTGAAATTGATATAGACAAAACTATAGACAAAGATGACAGAGGGAAATGGAGCGATCCTATGGGCGGAAGCGGGTGATTGCTATGGACAAAAGAGGTAAGTAATAGAGTAACCAACGGAAACCGACTAGAGACCCTACAGTTAGTCCATCATTTTCCCCCTCAGTCTATTAGAACCATCCTTACAACCAATCGGATTGCTTGGATACTCCCTACGTCTTCTTTGTCTATCGCTCTGTCTATTAATTTTAAAATTAGCCCGCAGCTCCTGTTATAACACACCCATTAAGTGTCTAGCCCACCGTCAAACTAGGGGCTTCAAAGAGGCTCATCGATGGAAGTGTTGACTGTTGCCTTTCAAAGATCGTCGGACCGACGATCTTTGAAGGTAATCGATGTGTTCGAGATACATCACAGATCAGATCTTGAAATTTTCAAGGAATTTCGTGCTGAAATGGCTGAGAAATAGAAGAATTGGTGCCAGTTTAAGAGCCCCAGTTTGTAAGTGGGCTGGACGCTTGACGCTGAATTCAGGAGTTCCTCTACCGATGGTCAAATTAGCTGGTCGATTGTTGAATCTATATCGAATGACCTCGATCGATACATAGCATTGTGAAGATAGGGAGTTATCGAACTCATTCGACCAGTCGACCCGCAGGAAGTCAAGCGGCGAAGACGAATTTTGACTACATCATAGGGAAAAAAGTGTAACGCGGGATACCGTATGAACGTACGTAGGCAAAAAAAAAAAAAAAAAAAAAAAAAAAAAATAATAACAATTGACAGGAGTTATTCCTCCTCGGTCTTTTTGAGTCTTAAAAGGGGGCTACAACAACACCAACATAGTACTGTGCAGTGCTGACAATTATTGTATGTAGCAAATGGGTGGTTTTTATACGAGGATTAAGAATAAACTAGTGGTACGGAATATAACAAAATAATATAAACTGTGCAAAACGATAATCCGGGTATCGGAACCTGGCTGTTTTGAAAACGCCTTCAAAAGCGGCGTGACACCTCACGCATTCCGGAGAGTTCAAATAGTTGTATCATTGCGCCGTAAGAACCTGACGGAAGATTACAATTGAAATAGCCTCCATGCACGCTGGTCTTTTCGATTTCCGTTCACATTTTTGCAGTCGTGAATGCATAGCTTAAGTGCGCTTCAGCTAGAATCGTATTTAGGAAATGTGTGGTTTTTATACGAGGATTATGAAGAAACAAGTGGTTAGAAATGAAACAAAATAATATGAACTATGCAAAACGATAATCCGGGTATCGGAACTTGGCTGTTTTTGAAAACGCCTTCAAATGCGGCGTGATACCTTACGCATTCCGGAGAGTTCAAATAGTTGTATCATTGCGCCGTAAGAATGTGACGGAAGATTAAAACGGAAATAGCCTCCACGCACGCTGGGCTTGTCGATTTCCTTCGACATTTTTGCAGTCGTGAATGCATAGCTTAATTGCGCTCCAGCTAGAATAATTCCTTTAATATTTGTTTCCTTTTGTAATTTTAATGACACTTACGGTGTTTCTTTTTTTCTTCTATGTTTCAGATTGGGCTGTTCCTGTTTAACAGTCCCATCAGGACTGACATTTTGTGATTTTCGGTTTCATAGACTGATTTCCAGAGCTTGATTCTCGTGGTGAAGTGCAAATATATTCAGCATCGGAAATCGTCTCCCGTAATCCTCCTAATTTTTAGTGCAGTTATCGTTACAGTGATTGGAGCAGTGCTTAACATTTTTCCTCACGGTAATACGAAAATGTGGGATTTAGAATCCCTAGCAAACCATGTTGGACATGGAAGAACATTGCTAGTTTTATAATGAAACAGCAAACTCACAAATTTGTTTTTAAATTTTTTAAAAGAGATTTTATTTGATTTTTATCGCTGTTGTTCCGTTGTTGATGTTGTTATTAGTGCCTAAAATACTAGATCCTCGTTGAACTTAAATGTTGAATGTATAGTTTGTAATTGTTGATAGTTTTAACTCACCTCAAGACCCTTTAGGTATTTTCTTTATATTGACTGCAGGCACTAGAAAAGATAGGACTCTTCAGCAGTTTGAGCATGATTTCAGTGCAAAAGCTTAGTTACCTCATGTTAGAGGCTGAAAAGCCTCATCGTACAAATATTTATCCTTTCCTTTTAAGTCATATTTAGTTACATCAATCTTTGAGAGAATTTTCAACTTATAGGAGCAGCATAAGTTGCTTTTGTGAATTTAGGCATTTCATGAAATTCTCATAATGTGATATACGAGTATTCAAAGAAATGAGTTATTTCAAGGGTGTTGTGACGATATTCAAAGAATTTGCATAGTATTAAGCCTCTGGTGAGTCTTAACTCAAGCCTCCAGTATGGAGATTATGCGATCAACCCTGTCCCTTGCGGGTATGGGACACAAAGAATCGCAAGAAGAGCTGGCTGCTAACAGGTTAAGCAATTTAAAAAAAGAATTAGAAATCGATGATCACAAGCTGACGTTGACTCAGTTGTATCAGAAACATGGGACAAGCCCCACAAGGGGTTTAACAAATAACCAAGCCCGGGAATATTTAGCTAGGGATGGGCCAAATGCCCTCACCCCAGCTAAAACCACGCCAGCCTGGCAGGTTTTGCTAAAACATTTATTTCAAGGATTCTCAATGCTGCTTTGGATAGGTGCTGTGTTATGTTTCATTGCTTATGTAATTGAATATTCCACAGATGATGATGCCCCTAAGGATAACTTATATTTAGGTATTGTTTTAATTTTAGTATGTGTAATAACTGGTATTTTTTCTTATACCCAAGAAGCTAAAAGCTCAAGGATAATGGACTCGTTCAAAAATATGGTGCCCCAATATGCTAATGTCATTCGTGACGGCGAAAAGAAAATGGTGCCAGCTACTGAGCTTGTGAAAGGTGATTTAGTAGAGGTAAAGTTTGGAGATAGAATACCTGCAGATATAAGAGTTATAGAGTGTTCGGGTTTCAAAGTAGATAACTCTTCGTTGACTGGTGAGTCAGAACCTCAGATGCGGACAGTTGATTGTACAAATGATATTCCTTTAGAAACAAAGAATCTAGCCTTCTTCTCTACGAATGCCGTGGAGGGCACAGCCAAAGGTATTGTCATTTTATGTGGTGATCATACCGTTATGGGAAGAATTGCAGGGCTAACATCTAACTTAAAGCAAGGTGATACCCCAATTGCCAAAGAAATTCATCACTTCATGCATCTCATCTCCGCTTGGGCTTGCTTCCTGGGAGTCTCATTTTTCCTCATGGCATTTCTTTTAGGTTATCACTGGTTAGAGGCCGTTATATTTTTGATTGGTATCATTGTCGCAAATGTCCCCGAGGGGCTGTTAGCTACGGTAACTGTGTGCTTATCGTTGACTGCTAAAAAAATGGCTTCAAAAAATTGTGTCGTCAAACATCTTGAAGCCGTTGAAACTTTAGGTTCCACATCCACGATCTGCTCCGATAAGACAGGAACGCTCACTCAAAACAGGATGACTGTGACACATTTAAGTTTCAATCTAGAAGTTGTTGAGGTAGACTATTTCAAAGACCCCAAAGGAGTTTCCGAAAAGAACAAATCAAATGGCTCGTATCTGGCTCTTGAAAGAGCCGCTGCATTGTGCAGCAGAGCAGAATTCAAAGCTGGACAAGACACGGTTCAGGTATTGAAGCGAGACGCTATTGGCGATGCATCAGAGCAAGCTATTCTAAAATTCTCAGAATTGGCAATTGGCGACGTCATGGGCTATCGGTCAAAATACCCCAAAGCTGCTGAGATTCCATTCAACTCCACCGATAAGTATCAAGTGTCCGTGCACCAAACTACAGATAAAAAAGAGAGCTTCATCGTGATGAAGGGTGCCCCTGAGCGAATCCTCGATCGTTGCAAGACAGTGATACTCAACGAAAAGGAAACTGAGCTGACTGCGGACATTCGAAGAGAACTAGAGGAGATTCTGGAACAGTTGGGCAATTACGGCGAACGTGTCCTCGGCTTTTGCGACCTTGCGCTGGATAAACGGAAGTACGACAATGAATACAAGTTCATCATAGATCCTCCGAATTTCCCGTTGCAAGGTCTCCGTTTCGTTGGGTTGATGTCCATGTTGGACCCTCCGAGACCTGCCGTGCCCGATGCCGTCGCCAAATGCCGATCGGCCGGTATCCGAGTGATCATGGTCACCGGCGACCACCCTGTGACCGCCAAGGCCATAGCCAAAGCCGTCGGCATCATATCCGAGGGCTCCGAGACCTTGGAGGACATCGCCAAAAGACGTCGCTGCGATGTGAGCGAGATCGACCCGAGAGAATCCAGCACCATTGTCATCCAAGGCTCCAAACTGAGAGACATGACCACCGACGAGTTGGAGGACGTCCTGCGGCACAATCGGGAGATCGTGTTCGCGAGGACCTCCCCGACTCAGAAGTTACACATCGTCGAGGGTTGTCAGAACCTCGGAGCAATCGTGGCCGTGACCGGGGATGGCGTCAACGACTCGCCCGCTTTGAAGAAGGCGGACATCGGGATCGCGATGGGTATCACCGGATCCGATGTGAGCAAGCAGACGGCCGATATGATCCTCCTCGACGATAATTTCGCCTCCATCGTCACCGGAGTCGAGGAGGGTCGCCTCATTTTCGACAACCTGAAGAAATCCATCGCGTACACGCTGGCGTCTAACATTCCTGAGATAACCCCATTCCTCGCTTTCATCGTGAGTGGGATCCCTTTACCCCTGGGGGTAGTCGCCGTCTTGTGCATTGACCTGGGGACGGACATGTGGCCGGCTATATCTCTGGGATACGAGAAAGCCGAATCGGACATCATGCGCCGACACCCGCGGAACCCTGCAACGGATAAGCTGGTGAATAGGAAACTGATCTTCGTGGCCTACGGTCAGATTGGGTTCATCGAGGCAGCGGCCGGGTTTTTCTCGTACTTCGTCATCATGGCCCAAAATGGATGGATGCCCCTCCGTCTGATCGGGTTGAGAGCTAAATGGGATTCGCTCTCGATCAACGACTTGGAGGACTCCTTCGGCCAGGAATGGACTTACGGAAACCGGAAGATTTTAGAATATACTTGCCATACTGCATTTTTCATCGCTATCGTCGTGGTTCAGTGGGCGGATTTGATTATATGCAAAACGCGCTATAACTCGATTTGTCACCAGGGGATGAATAACTGGGTCCTGAATACGGGGATGGTTTTCGAAACGGCTGCCGCTTGCTTCGTGTCCTACTGCCCTGGAATGCCCGAAATATTGAAGACTTACCCTGTTCGGCTCGAGTGGTGGCTGCCCGCAATTCCATTCGCCATTGTTATCTTCATCTACGACGAGTGTCGTAGATTCTGGCTCCGAACTCACCCGGGTGGGTGGGTCGAGCGGGAGACCTACTACTAATTTTCAAAGAGACGCCATTTTAGTATAAATATTTTTATTTTTTTCGTGTAAATAACTCTGATTACGTTGAAAATGCCATCATTACGATATACATTATAGTATGTGCGAGTCATTTTTTTACAAACCAAATAAATATTCGATGAGAAATGCAATGCGCTGAAGATAACCAGGGTCTCGTGATCCTTTTTGGATTATTATTGTTAGATATTATAATTTTTTCTTAATTTTTTTGTTTTTTATATGTATATTTCAATTGAATATCGCTGCTTATCACTGAAGCCCTAGACTGATTAGATTTGAGTAGTTTAAAATTTTGAGCTGAGTAAAACCATACCACCCATTCGAAAAGAAAAATGCGCAATCTGAAAGAAAATTTGCTCGGCATTTCACTTGAAAATTCAGTTTAACCCGTCTATATCGACATTTTAAAGACCCAATTGTTGTTCATGCAATAAACTATATACTTCTATTGTACATACGTTTCTTTAGGTGTAAAAATTTAAATCATGTCTCTTAATGCCGTCGCTGCTTCAGATGTTGTTACTTGATATTTTTGAAAATCACTGTCAAAGTCGTTATATGTATTCAGATATTCTCATACTTATGAAATGAATGACACGCTCGCCCAGAATGTGAGAATATTGGAATACAAATTCTTTTCAGAGAATATGCGATCACGTCAATTAAAATAAATAGCATTCGCAAAGCACTAACGTCCTATGTTTGCAGGTCAGATTTCCCTACGAAAAGCAGCATTTTAAACTTTAATGTCTTTTGTTCCTTACATTACAAAATCTCAGAGGGAAAAAGATGAACTATTTTAAATAGATTTAACTGTCAGGAAATGTTATTTTCTTCATACAACCATTCTATTTTTCTACATCCAGGACCGATTCTCTTAGCCAGTACTTTTTTTCCACTAATGACCTGAAAAGGTTTCGTTTTTGTTCCTACCGTAGCAATTTTTACTGTTACAACCATATTTTCGTGAAATACCTAGAAACTGAGGCATTAACAAGTCCATGTTAAACTTTTCACATTCTTCTTTGTTCAAAATCCCAGTTCATCTCTCAAATCCTAAATCCTAATGCCGCGAATGATAACTTTTATGTCCAGGAATTTGTGTAAAATCAACTGAATCCTGTTTTATTAAAGTTATGCATCGTAGATTTAAATATTTAACACGTACGTCCAATTTTCTCTTTTTTCTGGATCTCTAATGGAGTTTCGTCTCTAGCAAGGCTTAGAGGTAAAAGTACATTTACAAAAATCTAAATTCACAATATTTTTGAAGTATATTATTGTAAAAGTAAGCTATTTATTGAATTTGCAAGAAGCGAGAAAAAGGGTGCCTATATCCATGAATATTGATCAAAATATTCACGTATATATGTAAAATAAAAACAAGAAGCTCAATAGGTTAAAGTTTCTACTTAAAGTAATTTAATTTTTTTTCTGTTAAAAAGTAATCACGTACAAGAAGACGTACCTGGGAAAAATTTTATAGTATTTTGTATAAAAATCTCATTTGAGGTAACAACTGATCGTTCGAAAAATAATGGAGGATAAATAAAATGAAAATAATTCATCACTTTCTAAACCACATGAACAGTCTACATTTAAGAAAAATTTATGCATTTTTAATTGCCATGAATTTTATACTTGATATTTTAGTTTTGAATTGGTATTTGTTTCTAGAGGAGGAGACTTTTGTATGAGTAGGTAAAATACATCACTGCTTCATCAAAAGTTGAATATGAGAACCATTATTTGCTAAAGATATACTAATTTACTGTAATCGCATGGCAAGTAATTATGAGCTGATTTTTTTTTGTGGACACAATAAATAATGGAATGACAAGAAAGATAAAATTCTGAATGAATAGGGTAAAATTAAAAAAATTAAAAAATTGAGAGGGGGAAAACGCTTCAAATTTAAATAGGTTGGAGCCATCGTCGGCAACATAATTAGGCGCGTAGAGCACACGTCATTCGTAATGTTGTAATGATATACCCATCTTCAGTAAGAAGTATGCGGACCTAAAATATTATAAATTAAATTGATAAGTAGGCTGGTCTCTGCTTCTTTCAAAAGTCAAGAACAGATTCTTCTTGCAGAAATCTATAAAACTCGAGGACTAATTCTTCTTGTAGAGAATCGCAAACAATTATTTTCAAACATTTTGTAAATCCGCTGTACCTCACTTAATATAATTTATTTTGCAATTGTAGGTACTGCAATGAAATTAATGCCTCGTATGACATCTTTGTACTTTAACAATTTGTTGGTTTGCGTTAATTTCATTAAGAATCACTTCTTATTGTTACTTTCTTTTTTGACTTTCAAAGTCAGATTTTATATTAATCTTCATCAGTACTGCAGTGTTCCATTTATCCATCCGCAAAATCATAAATGGTTTGGAAAAGGGGGAGTCTAACTTTATAAAAGGAAATGTTTTTAATAGCAGCTCTTATTAGTGAGAATAATCATCTGACGTGTTTAGAAGTATTATACATTTTACCTTTAGCTCATCCTCAGTAGATAGTTACCAGCATATTTAGTCATAGTTGATAACTTAACCGAGTCTGTCTGTTAGTATTCGTTTATTCATTTATTTTGTATGAGTATTGGAGAGTGGAATCTTGACATCGTTTGAAAATTGAGCAGATGCTGAACAATTGAACATTTTCATCAAATCAAATTAAATATCAAGATATCCGCCCATCCTTAAAAGTGGCGTGGCGTGCTTTGCGATGTATCGATTGATCTGTTATTTGAACCTATGGAAAAGAATCGATAGACAGGATGTTCGCAACGAACGCCTCAATGATCGATTCTTTACCACAGCTTCAAATGCAAGAACATTGATAATCGATTATTCACGCCTCGCCACCGCTCTTTAACTATACTCAATGAATTTAACATCTACCGAGAAAAAATATAAAAATCTATGTCTGATAATAATTAAAGAACACGCCTACAGTGCAATATGATCTTACGCACAACCGGTCTTACGGTCATCGATCCTTTGACAAATTAGGGCTTGACATGGAACCACCTTGCATCAGACATTACAATGACCTTCAATTGTTCAAATTGTTCGAGTTTTATTTTACACCACTTCATTAAATCGAGACATCAAATTGAATCTATTAATGAAAATTAAAGGAAACATAGGTTAGATTATCTTTGGATAACGCGCTCCTTTCACAAGAAACTTTGATATAAGTCCCTCCTCTTTTCATGATAAAGGTCTGATTGCGCTAACCGTGAAAAGACATGTATCTACATCTAATTTTGTTTTACTTCATTTATTTTTTCATGTATAATATCTAACTGAGCATCGCGGTTTTGGCGTACGCTAGATTTATTGTAAGAGCATCTTGTTATAGGGTTTGGTCCGCACCAAGCACGAAATGCCATTCGAGCATCTTGGACTCTAAACTTCATTTCTTTAGTGGGCTGCTGTTGCATCTTAAGTTCTGCACTCTTAAAAAATCTCATCTTCAAAGGCTTCTATGGGTAAAAAGAAAAAACTAATAAAAACACTATTTCACGCGCTGTTTATTATTTTGTACGTTATCTTTATTATTTTTTGTTATCATAGGAATTTATTTTTATAAGACAATTACAGTCCATGTTAGTAGGATATATTTAAAATCTGTAGTCTCCTGTAATTTATCCCGATGTTCTTGAAGGTATATTAGAATTTAGACTGCCTTAGGAAATTAATTCGCTCACTTATTTTTCATGGAAAACCCCAAACAAGTTTAATTGCACTCGTTTAGGATATTCTCCAATCAATGGTTTTTCAATTATTGACGTGAATGTCGAAAAATTATTTTTACAGACTGTTTTAATTCCTGCCCAGTTTTCTGCAGGATAAAAAGAATAAAAATAATTAAGATTATTTACTGTATGCATTTAAATGAAATTATTACAATTATGTGGTAGAGATTCAGTACAAAATCAAAGGGAAAATTATAAAAAATGTCAATTGGTGTAAACTACTGCAAAAAAGCTCCGTGTTTCAAACCATTATATTCAACAGCATGTCAAAAATACAAGTATTCAATTATTACAGTGTATTCACGAAATTAATGTCTAGTTTTATCACTGCTACGTAAATTTACTTCTTTGTATATTCCTTTTGTAAGAGCTGGATTTTTCATACGCGTAATTTGACCTTCTTTGTTTGAAACAAGTGCTCATAAAAGGTTCTTCCTTCCTAACATTAAACACCCGATCATGAATTCAATAATTTTGCAGGAATTTTATCATAGTTCTATCTAATTTTGCTTATATAGATATTACTGTAAAATCTGTCAGTATCTTATGAAGAGTAACATTTTGATTGAACTTCTCCCTACTGTATGGTGGTTTTTAACTCCGAAGTAAGTTAAAGTTCTAACGGACGAGAAAAAAAGAGAGTAACAGCGTATTATGTAACACTGTGTTTGGGAATTTCTAAATTTCTTTCAATCGGCACAGGTCAGATACACATATTCCCAATGTGATAAGTATAAGTGATTGAAAAGCGCAGGTAATTGACATCTTAATATTATTTGAAAGCTGTTGGTGTGTTTAGGAATAGCTGGTCTATTTTTACAGACCATCTGCTTTGTGTTTCATGCTGTCCTCCAAAGTTTTCCTTTAAATAATGGCTGACACTGTTTTTGTTACGATTCAACTTGAATACTATAACATGCAGTTAAAAATACATTAATGACAAATGGTACTGAAAAATTTTCAATGAGTACATCAATACCAGATTTTTATTTCATTCTCAAACTCATGGAGAGCGATACACAGTCTGTTGACCCAATTTAAATTGCAACAGGCTACTTTCACATCTCTTGAGATTTTTAAGTATGGTTTCAAAATTTTAAACAATTTATACGCTCACATAAACCTTACAGCTTAGACGACGCATGATGTAGCTGTGCATCATCAAATTCTATTTCCTCATATACAACTTAAGTGTTATTTTTAATATATTTTATTGTATTTACCTCAAAGTCCCTGCATTATTGTTGAGAGCTTACTTCATTCATTTTGTGAACTTTGCCAACCTAATCCACTATTGTTTCCACGTTTAATGGCATACAATGTGGCGTATTTGTAAAGAAGTTGGTCACCCTGGACATGATTGTATTTTCCTTCTGAAAAATGAAGCCATGTTGTTCAAGTCTTAATCCAGGAAAATTACTTTGGTAACGGAGAATACAACGCCTTATCCATGTCTCCTTACTCTGTTGTTATGTACTCGAGCATTACGTATGTTATGAAGAAAATGACTCCATGTATTGCTTCTCCTCATTAATTTCTTAAAAAATCCTCGGCTCATATTTTTTTTTCTTTTTTTAAACAAATAAAATTATTGTAAACATCTGTAAAATTTCTTCTGTTACAAATTCATTTTCTCTTTTCGATAGCTTTTTTTTTTTTTTATCGCGATACGCGGTACGTTATTTCTGTAGGTTCAAATCATGGTCAGAGAGTTTGATTGACTGTAATGTGTATGCACCTCAAAATTGCTCCAAAATTTAGTAATGGCTGAATAGGATGATTTCATTACTTGGCCAGCTCTTAAAAATAATATAAGCGAAGGAGCATAACTTTATATAAGAGGTTCATACCAGCAAGACTTTGCGGCGTACACTATCGAAAGTTTTGTGTCAAAATATTAAAAAGCAAAGAATTATTTTTCACTCACAAGTCTCTCACGCTTAAAACGAGATGAAAATGGAAACGAGTTTAATCGATGATTCAATAGGGGAGGGTAACAATAGCTTAGTTTTTGTACTTACAGGGTGGAGCACTAGAATATTTATCATTATGTACCATTCTTAACTCTAAATTTAACTACGTGCTCCACCATTTGAAAGCCAAAACTGTCAGTGTGAAAGGCACCTCGCCTGTCAAATCACTTGTCAAGTGTTGATATTTTCTACAGTAATTAGTCAGTTTACAAAACTTACTTCTTCTGTAGAAGTTTTAGAGTGCTCGCAAATTATTTCGCTGAGTCAGTTGCTACACTTGCCGAATAAGACACGGAAATACAAGTCGATTACTTTTTTCAATTAAATGGCATAGGTATTGGCAGAGTTTCCACTATACTCCAAAAATGAAATCTCATATTTACGTAAAAACCAGCAATGCTTTGGTTGCTTTATTATCATAACCAATTTGGAGTATGTAAAGGTACCATGTTTTTTTAACCCATCCCAAATTTTAACTTGGCTATTTCCTCATTGATTTATTTGATTCATTCTGTATACTTAAGAGAAAAATGCTGTTTTTAGATTTTCCAAAGAATTGGTAATCGAAATTATTTCTAGGAATACTGACCTCTTACAAATTATCATGTAGGTGGTATCCACTGATCCATTTTAGCGACAATGTAAGTATTGTTCATGTGAAGTAAAACTACACCCAGAATATTTAAAGTACCTATTTACTACGAATTGCAATACGGACGCTGACGTTGCAATACACGCGCACTAGTTTGCAGTCATTTTTGTTCTCTTACTTTTTTCATACCGATTGCGAACACATTTTTAGTGATTGTTATCAATTTACTTGTAGTACTTACCTGTATGTAAATTCAGATGAATTATAATTTTGCTTTTTTGACTTTTACCGCGGTACGTACTTTAATTTGATGTGCCCCCTCCTGCTTCTTATTTACTTTAATGATTTAATATACTTTGATTAAGTAAGAAAATAAAATTAATAGGGCAGTTCTCGGCACAAAACAACTCTTTCGTCCATCCTGATCTATCGATTTATCCGGGAGCAATATCAAAAAACAACAAAGGAGCAAAACGAAGAAACCATTCTTAAGGTTATACAAAAAATACAAAAAAAAATAAATAAAAAAAGACATCGTTAGTAAATTAGTTGGTTAATTTATTACAGCGATGACCAACTAGACTATTTACGTCAGAGACCAGGGATTCACCTTATATTTTTAAATTTAATTGCTTTAAGAGTTTTAAAATTGTGGTGATTTACAACTTATTTTTATTGAATATTTATAAATATGAACAAGGTTTAAATACAGTAATCGGATACTATCAGTCGCTTTGCTTCCAGTGAGTATTTTATACAGTTCACAACTGGGGGAAGTGCATATGTTCAGTGAAAATATTTCAATTCATTGTCAAATGGATGAATAAAATCTACTCTAGTTTATCAGTTCGATTATGATCTGTAAAACCAATTACATTGTCATAAGACATTTTACATACATATAAGTCGCTTTTATAGAACACAACATACAACATTTTGAAACCAGATATACATAAATGCAAAGGCTATTTTAATCAAAGTTTGTCCATATTTCCACATGACAATCTTCCGCCGATTGCAAGTTAAAACCAAAACAGAAATTGATGATTTGCTTAACTGTTGATACATACAGAGAATCAAATAAATACAATTTATGTACCAATTCTGGATTGATGCAAGCCGTTTGTTCCTAAATTAAAAACAAATCTGCAGTCCTTGGTCTGTGCTGGTTAGCAACCGGTGTAATGCTATTGAACGATAACATAATATTGGATAGTGCTACGCTTAGCCCTTTCAATGGCACATTATTGTGATTACAAAAAGTTAAAAAAAAAGAAGGAAAAAGAAAGAAAAAAATACGCATCATAAAAAAAAGTATCTCAGTGCCCGTAATCAAAAATAAGTGAGGTTTAATTTGATACCATTGCACAAAAAAAAAAAAAAAAAAAAAAAAAAAAAAAAAAAAAAAATCGTCTCGCTAGATTTTTGACAAAGAAAATAGTTGAAAAAATAAAAAAGTCGTAGTGCTCAAGTTTTAAAGTTTCAAACTGTTGTTCAGCAGATATTACTGTTTGAGAGAGGAAAAAAAAGAGACAAATACAAAATTACGAGTTTTCTTAATGTGGTTAAAAGTTGAACTTAAATCACCATTTCATATCTACACGCAAAAAAGTGGAATCGCTCCTGACTCCTGCCGAAGTGAACCATTTCACAATGTTTTCCAATAAAGTTAGCTTTTCTCGTAAATTTTCTCTTTGAAATTAAAACCATTCTTACGAAGCGTCCTAACCGATGATTAAATTGAATCCTCTCACTTGCGGAGGAGAAATAATGTTTTATTCAGGGGGTTCCTACTCGAAATGCTGGAGAGGCATTTCATTGAAACAGTTGTAACCCTCCAAAACTTGTTAAATTCTATTTAGGGTGCTAATTAAGACCTCCACCACCATGGCGTGGTTAATCCCCTACATTCGATGAGTCAAACCCCACAGTCAATTCGACGATTCCTTGGATGAAAACTTATAATCTAAACGCGGTTATGCAAACCCACCCTCGTTTTGAGGTGGCTTAAAACTTGGACTTGATTTACAATCCAATTTACTGAGCCTCACGGTATCCTCCTGTCAAACCACAAGAGACCAACGGACAGTGGGAGCTAATTCGCTGATGTTTGGCATAGGTTTAAATGACTCTACAACACAGCGCCATAAAGATCTCTATGAAATCTCCTTAGATTGTAAAGAATGAACTTTGAAAATGTCAGGGTATTCATTTGTATTCCGGAGAGACATAAAATCTGTAAGGATATTTTGCAATTACTGTCGTAGTACAGATTTCGCTGATCCTGGTTGGAGCCGCAGCCATTTGCAACGTATAAAGGTGAAGTAACCGTTGTTCTCTCCAGAAAATGAATACTCGCCGAAGCGTTTTCTTAAGTACATTCAACTGAAAAACATTGCAGGTATTTGCTAAATATTATGAGAAGAAGTTACAAAATCTTCAGAAGTTTTGGAGTTTTTACAAATACGGCACAACTATAATGCCAATTTAGCAAGCAATAATATCACGCAATGCGAATTGCGTGAAAATCACCTTCATTGTTTAAAAAGACGAACATGCACTACTTTTATTATTTTCTCTCACTCTGGTGAGTAGAAATTACAAGTAGAATTAACTTAAAGTACTATCAAAAATAGTTTTCTTTACTGATCTTGACATCACGAATTTACAGAAATCATGGACCCAACCAGAAAAAATATTAGGGGTGCGTCATTAAAACCTACACGAAAGTAAACCCTTTCTTTTTTTTCTTGAGCAAAATTCACCTCCTACAGAAAAGTTCCTACCCTTTATCAAGTGCAACAAGACTTTCCGATGCTGGATCCCTTCCCTTCCATCCCCGAGGCGAATTGTTCCATTCGCCCACCGCTAGCTCAGCGAAAAGCTCTCCTATCATCATGCCCGCCTAGAGCTACATTTTGCGAAGGTCAAACTATGTTGAAAATATATTAAACAAAACATGATCGCTATTGTGCGCATTATGAAGTGGCAGGAGTGTTCAAAACGTAAATTCTTATTTGAGGAATCGGAAATGTTGACATCAAAACATATTCACCTCAGAAGATTCTATCAGAAAGATTTCTGAGTTCCTCTCCAAATCACACTTGTCTATTTTCAATCTTGGAGCACCTTCAAATGATGAATTCGTGAACTATTATTCATTCTACTGAAATTTACATTACTACCCCATTCACTCTCTATGGCATAGCATTACGAATTCGTAACAACGTATTTTCGGGGTCTTTAAAAATTGAATTTTTACCATCCATCTTGCCATCTTGGTCTTTGTGCCATGATTTTGCAAAATTTCATTCGTTTTTTTTTTTTTTTTTTTTTTTTTTTTTTTTATGAAAAATTGATTCCCTTAACTTTAAAATTTTGAGGAAAAAAACGTAATACTCTATTTTTCCATGCAAGCTACAAAATAGATCAGAGTCACCTAGTATCTGAGATCCAAAATAATTAATTCATGTCATAGAGGGGTAAGGAGCAATCTCCATATATTCGGATTCATCATAATTTAAAAAAAAAAAAAAAAAATGGGAGGAAAGGGAAGGGCAAAACGAAAGATTTGTAGCTTTAAAGGGGGTGTTCCACACAGATTTACGGACCGATATAGGGGGAAGGGGAGGGGTGCGGTGTCAAAACTCTGTGAAAGCGTTTCTTAATTAACGGACGGCCGGCCCCTAGTGGTTTGGTTTATTCGCACCGCCGTCCGGGGTGCATGGGAACGGTGAGGCTTGATATGGCGCGGTGTTCGGGAGCAAATGTAGGTTGCTCCACTGTGCGACGGGCTGGGGCCGGGGGCACGATGGGGT